CCCCCTCATTTTAGACATAAATAAAAATAAGTTCACAATGATAGCTGAAGGTGGTTTTGTTGTACATTGTACAAATTTATACACTAATTAATAGAAAAGTAAGTCTAGAGGGGCATTCAAATGATAAAGTCATTGATTTTTAGACTAGGTTCTAGTTTTCAGAATACTATGTATAGTGGGTAAAAAGAACTCACAAAAGTATATTCGGGAGAATGGTAAGAACATTAACGTTTTTGCATGCCCAATTAAGCATTATTTTATGAAAGAAGTATTTAAGCAAATTAAATATATTTACTGAATTCTGACTCTTTAAAATATAATTGCTAATATAGTATAAAAAAGTTCTTTGAATACAGAGAAATAAAATAGATTACACAGGCAATCAGATCATGTGTAGATGAAATGTGATTGTTACACGGTCTTGGGTGAGGTTTGTTGCTCTAAGGGCACACCAAGTTTGTTTTGCGGGACACATGAATATTGCATGTTCTAGAAAAGCAGACCCACACAGAAGACTCCTAAGCCACAGGACTGTAAAATGACAGTTGAAAAGAGGATGGCCATTGAAAGAGCGATAATGGGAGATCATAAGGCAGCAGTCTCAGAGAACATAAAAGGGCCACGCCAAAGAATGAAAGTAATATTTGCAGATGTGAGGGCCACCGCCAGAGAGAGAGAAAGTAACAGTCCAGAGGGGCTACAGATGTGGAAGTGGAGAACAACCAGCAACAGAAAAATAAAATAAAAGAATACAATAAAACATTTTATTGGAGCAAACAAAATTCTTCCAACAAGGGTTGGGAGGGGCCTTAAAGATGAAATTCTAGAGGTAGGGCTCTGGGTCAGACTTTATTTGTAGACTGCTGAGGCACTCCCATAATGTGTCTCCTTCATCCCCATTAGGTCCATCTGCTGGCTGGCCATTAGCAATTTGTAAAGATTGCAAGGTCCCCTGGAGAAGGAATGGGAGGCACTCCACTCAGATTTGTCTTCTAAGTGATTCTAAGTCTCCTCAAATTGACAATCAAGATTAACCAGTGCAATAGACAAAGAAGGGTGAAGGCTAAATCTTTCACAGGGGAAAGACTGGTGTTCATTTTGTCTGTCCCTTTGAGGATTCATCAGGTTAGCTGGCGCTATTTGCCTCCAGACTTAGCCACCAAATCTTTCCTACAGATCCGGCCCTGTGATAATCACCTTTGTAAAATATGTGTCAGTTTCCACCAGATTTATAACCCCAGCATAGAAGAAATAAGACTGACCTTAGAGACTACAGGGCTCACCGATGCTCCTGGCACTGTTTGTTGCTTGTCCTCATTTCCTAGTCTCATCCTTTCTCCTTATTACTGTGAAAGTTAAAATGAAAACGGGTCCTTTTCAAGTTTCCCCTCATCTCTCTCATGCATACACGAAAAGGAATAAGGAAAGAAAAGATGAGAGGCCTAGGTTTTAGTTAAATGGATGAAGTATCATATTTCCCAGGAGAGTGCTGGTCTCACTGAGTAATGCGGTCAGCCGTGCCATCGCAGAAGTGGGAAGTTACAGGTATACTTGAGAATACTGCTGTCTCATCTCCACTCCTTGGGCTTTGGACACCTGTAGCATCATTTACTAGGAGCATGGCAGATATTATAAACTGTATTTTGAACTTTCAAGGAGCAGACCTTAGGTTAATGCCATAACTCACTTAAACAGATGCCCATGATGTGTTATAAGCTCAGCTACTTCCAGAAGGCCTTTAACAAGTGGAATGAATTGCAGGGGCATTGGCTCATTGCTTGCCTTCTCCTTACATGAATTCTTTGACATGATGAGACTTGTATAGGATATTATAATGGTTTATGAGCTATTCAAATCATTCTACTAATAGCAAAACATAACAGGAGGGAAATGTAAATCTACAACAAGATTTCATTCTGACAAACACAAATAATAACTCCCAACTATTCAAATTATAATTGGTGTAATAGCTCTGATGAGGTTTAGAGCCATTTATTTATTTATTTATTTATTTATTTATTTATTTATTTATTTATTTATTTATTTTTGTCATAGGTAATGCTTTAGGGACATCCTGGGGACTTGGTGCTCATGAATGGAACAATAGCTCTGATGGCCTTCTCCTTGAGTTTACTGAGAGGAAATGTTCAACCTAAACTCCCATGGACCATACATCCTTCCCTGGATGGGCTTAACAGAGCTTCCATCCTTAAACACCCTACCCTCCTAGATTCTCAAGGTCTTCTCTGACTTGGAAGTAGTCTTTGCAAATGTAACTAAGATGGAGTCATCTTGTATCCCAATGGGTTCTAAATTATTGTCTAATGCTTTTATTACAAGACTTTCTAAAAAGTAAGCAATCGGAAGGAAGAAAGCAGCAAGAGTAGAAAGGTGAGAGCGGGTCAGTGCCCACCAACCCCAGGGCATGGGCTCCCAGGAAGGGAATTTGCTATGCTGGTATCTTGGTTTTGGACATTTCTAACTTATGAATCTCTCGTCATTTTGCCTTTTAGTTTCAGCTACTCATGCTCAACCGTGATCCAGCAATATTAAATGGAAATTTCCAGTGATAAATAATTCATAAGTTTGAAATAACTTGTATTATAATACACTGTTTATAGTGATTCTGATTTATTAGTTACCATGGTTTATCAATTGGTGTCTCTAAATTTAATTTAAATTTATTAAATTTTTTATTTATTAAATCCATATGTAAGAGAGAAAAAAATCACATTTCTCTCTTGTTCTGATCCACCCAGTTACAGGAATCCACTGGCCACCATAGAATGTGTCTCCCATGGGCAGTGGGAGTAACTGTACATTGGCAGCCCTAGGAAACAAGAATGCGACCCTCTAGGTACTATGCTTGTGACATTGCTTAGATGACAAACACATGTCTAGGAAGGTAGATAATTAACCCAATAAATAAGTCAATGACTCCATCATTTAGATACTGGACTTCTGTAAACCATATTGATAAAAAGAATATGTTTAGACATATAATTCCTTTCTAAATTTATTTTCCAAATCCATTAATATTTCTCTTATATAATTACCAACTACTTTAGAATGAATACAATTTTAAGGTAAAACATAGCCATAGCCAATAAATAATTTCCACTTTGGCAAAGACTATACACATAATAAAAAAGATAAAATATCCAATTAAGTTCATGCAGGTGTCCTTAAAATCTGGAAGAGGGCATTGGATCCCCTAGAACCAATGTTAAAGAGGCATAACAGAAAAACAGATACCACAAATGCATAGACAATAATTGAAATAAAATTATCAATAATGCAAGAATTCTTGCAATTTAATACAATATAAAAGTATTTTTAAAATATAAGAGAATTAAAAATAGACTATAGATTAACCAAGAAATTTTCTTTTTAGATAAATAAGATGACCTTCTGAAAATATCAGCAAAGAGATTAATATTAAATACCACACAGATGGCATAGCACTATACTAATCATATTTAAAAACAGAGTTACTTTATTGAAAGATAAATATGAAGTTGAAAAGAAATTTATATATTTCAAAAAGATAACAACTGTATAGAGGTTAGATCATTACCTGGTATGGTTTAGTCAGCAGTCTTTACCAGATGATATTTTAAATTGCTTCTGGGTTGTGCAATCTTAAGGAGATGGAGCCTTATGGGAGATCATTGGGTTATTGGGAACATAACATTGAGGGGATTGTGAGTCAATGACCTCTAAAAAGAGATCATCTCTCTCTTACTCTCTGGCCATAAATGTGTATTTGTGTGGCCACTAATCTTTCATGAGTCATATCTAGTAGCTTTATTAGGCATTCTAAGAAATAGACCTGCCCAAATTAGACCAAAACATGTAAATAAAAACAAATATTTTTCTTTATAAATTATTTCACTTCATTATTGTTGCTGAAATCTGATCAATACAACTTTTTAATATATCAAAATGTCAAAACAGAAGAGAATTTTAGTGGGAGGCATTAATCCAAAAGTTAAATGAATACAATAACTCAAAGTTTATGTATAATTATTCATATTTATATATAGAAAAGTAAAAATACACATTTGAAACAACCGAAGGGGGAAAATGTTTCCTCCATTAAAAAAACAATTAGCATGACAGCTGGCGTCTTAGTCATTCTTGAGGTCAGAATGCAATGCTCTTTATGTAGGAGCAGAAAATATTAGACATATTCTTTGTCCTGGCTATCTGCTGTCTAAAATATATCACAGAAGCTTGAGGCTTAGCACACACTTACCATAGCACTTTTTCTTGGGTTAGGTTGTAGTAGGTATTGAGATGGATAATTATGATTGAGTCTTGCAGGGTGGGTGTTAAGTGGTACTTGTACTGGAGTAGGCTGTCATCATGATTTGAATTGACGAATACTCATCAAAAATGACTGACTTGGGAGAGTTTTGCAAGAACTCTGTAGTTCTCAATAGCTGTTAGATGGGTGCTCCCAGGTCCTCATCAGGTAGACAGTATCACATTTTATTTGACATGGTCACTGATCTAAGAGGGAGGTGGAGAAGAAGAGAAGGAGGAAGAGGGGGTGGAGGAATAGGAGGAAAAGGAAGAAGAAGAAATAAAAGGAAGAGGAAGAGGAGGAGGAGGAGGAGGAGGAAGAAATTGTCTTATCAACTGACCAGCTGATTGATCCTTCATTCAGCAAGGAGGAGAAATGATTTCCAAGTTTTGAAGAAAGAAATTTCAAAGGATGTGGAATTATACTTTTTTTTTTGACGTTGTAACAAGCTGTTTATTGATTTTGCTGTGTCATAACCTACAGTAGCACAGCTTTGCTCTGCTCCAGGGCTCAGTATATATAGAAAACCCAGGACCCAGGGGGTCCATAGGCATGGCGATCAGCTGACCAATGAAACGAGTGAACGCAGAAGGGCATTCACTGGCTCACAAATGTCACTTAGGTGCTAGCGCTGACCCACAGTCCTACAGATGCTGGGATCAGGAGTGCAGCAGCTTTTCTAGCCCCTCAGTTACTCATACTGCAAGAGAGAGAAGGGTATGGATCTTAGGTGAACCTGCCTTTCAGCGAGCTCAGCTCTATCAGGCTCACACACCCCACCACCTCAGCCTGTGGCTGGCCCAGCACCTAACAGGCCTCAGGCATGGCTCCTCCAATGGCCAGGAGATCATCTACAACAACCACATTCTGCCCAGGTTCTAAGGCATCTTTCTGGATTTCCAGCTCAGTCTTACCAAACTCCAGAGCATAGGAGGCTGACATGATAGGTAGGTCCTGGCCGCTTTCAACCCTTCAAGATGAGCATACATCCCAGACCCAGAACTTGAGCTAGAGAGGGGCCAAACAGGAAACCCCTAGAGTCTAGGCCTGCGATGTAGTTAATCTTGCCTCTCTCGAGGGACTTCAGGTGACTGGCCAGGAGGCAGATGGAAGCTCCTAAGAAGTCTAAATCCTTCAAGAGGGGCAAGATATCAAGATATCCCTGAACAGCACGTCCGAGATGGGGACGTCCCAGAAAACTGAGGATGCTCTGTGCCACTAACTGCAACTTAAGTTCTACCATAACCTCATGAGAAAACAATATGGGATTACACTTTCTTAAAAAATTCTCAAATACATACAGAGGAGTAAAGAAATGAGAAAACACATTAAGAAAATTCCTATCTTGACCATCAAGAAGTATTAACCAAAGATGTCATTATAACGGATTTCATATGCAAGAAAGTATGTGGAATGCAGCAGTACAAAGTCAAGCTGCAAAATCAGATTATAGGTCCCAAAAAAGTTGAAACTTACATAGAATCTTAGCTTACATCTGACCACCATTGCTACTCGTTGGGGAAAACTAGATATTTCAATCAAGGATGCAGACACTCTCACTCATCCAGATAAAGGAAAAGGAAACTGAGACCCTAACGTCATATGCATAGTTAACAAATTTAAATACAAATTTCAAAAATATAAAATGTAAGGAAGACAAATACTTTATGAACTAAATACAGGAAACATCTATTGACACAGAAGGCACAGAGAAAGAAATGAGTTATCCCATGCACTTATGATTTCCTTTTAATTTTTCCATGATGTGATCTTCATGGGTTTCATATCTGAGTCTTTACAATATGATCTAGCTACACCACTCCTTGGAATATGCCTAAAGAACTTACCATCCTATTTCAGAGATACTTGATCAGGCAATGTTCTTTGCTGCCCTATTCACAATAGCCAGGGAATGGAGACAACCTAAATGTCCTTCAACAGATGAATGGATAATAAAAATATGGTACATATACACAATGGGATACTATTTAGCTGTAAAGGATAATGGAATTTGCAGGTAAATGAATGTAGCTAGAAAAGATTAGATTGAATGAGATAACCCAGACTCAGAAAGATAAATACCACATGTTCTTTCTCTGTGGTTCCTGGTTCAAAGTCTTTGTATGGAAGATACAATGTGGAATAACCACAGAAACCAGTGAAGTATATGCAAGGAAGTATATGGAATATAGCAATACAAAGTCAAGCTTCAAAATCCAGGGCCATAGGAGGTGGTAGTGGCTTAAGAGGAAAATAGCAGGATTGAGGTGATATGAAAAAGAAAATGTAAATATGGAGAGGGGGCTCCACCTGGGGACAATAGAGGACTGTCATGACAAAAACAGGAGGGACAAGAGACAAATAATACAAAAGTTGTATACTTAAACCTCAGGGAAACATGCAATTTTATATTTACCAAAAATATGCATTATATATATGATATATCCATATGTACTTTTATGTATAGTACACACACACACAGGTCTTGTGAAAGAAATTGAGCCATTTAGGATAGCCATAAACCCACAAGATTGATAGATAGATTAACAAAAATTCTAATACCAGGTACAAGAAATTTCCTGTGGAGGGGTTGTCAGTTTAGTCCAAGTGACTACCCAAACAATATAGATTATAGAGACAGCCTTTCTTTGCTTCTTAGAAGTTGAAGGTAATCCCCTGTTGCTTAAGGCACCACCTGTTTAGAACTCAGGACTCAGATTATTTAAGCTGGCTGAAACCTAAAAGTCTTGACACCTTCCTGACATCTAGCTTCCATTTTAGGTACCCTAAAATGCTATGCAAGCTGTCAAGAGAAGGAAATCTTTAATAGTCCTACTCGGAAGCATCACCTATGAAACATGACAATGACCAGCATGCAAGATATCCTGAGTGGTGACACAGGATGGCAGTAAAACAAAGCTCTGTACTGGATTTAAGACCCATTCAACAGGAGGGAAATTGGGACTGATACTAGAAACCTCGAAAACTTCCCTGGGAGTAGTGAAGTCATGGAACTTAGAAAAGAATTTACTGCCATCACTTTGCTAGGCCACCATATTTCCTTAATACATGCTAAAACTTATCCTTATACCACAGAGAAGTGTAGCTATCACACATCAAAGCTTTTCTCGTCTTTATTTTTCTCCTTTAATTAAAAGTAGATTTTCCCCTCACATAACATGTCCTGATAACAGTCCCCCCTTCCTCTACTCCACCCAGCTCCTCCCCACTGCCCCTCTTATCCAGATCCACCCCTTTCTATCTCTTATTAGAAAACCAACAGGCTTCTGAGGGACAGTAATAATAAAACAAAACAAAATATAATGTAATAAGATAAAACAAAAACTAGTACATTGGAATAGGACAAAATAAGCAGAAAGAAAGAAAAGAGCCTAAAAAAAGGCACAAGAAACAAATATAGACACAGACCCATTTAATCACATACTCAGGAATCCCATAAAAACACTAACCTGGAAGCCGAACTGTAGATATTATGTTATATTTTATTATATATAAATATTACATATTTATATACAATAAAAATAAAATATAAAAACAAGATTAAAAAAAAAGCTCTGATACAACATTATGAGGCAAGGAAGCTCCAAGATTAAGTTCATTTTCTGTTGACCATCTACTGCTAGGCATGCATCCTACCCTTAAGAGTAGTTTGCTTTCCCCAGAACTCTCTTGGAGAAAACTACATTTTCATTTTCAAGTGGTTTTCGATTGGAGATTGCCTGTGGCTTAGAGATCAGGGCATGTGTATACTTTCACCTGAGGACCCCATCTGGAACAGACCTATGCAGGCCTTGTGTATGTTTCCTCGGTCTCTGTGAGTTCAGTACATAGTTCCTGTTGATTTAGAAGGTCCTGTTTCCTTGATGTCCTCCATTCCCTCTGGTTCCTGCACTCTTTCTGCCTCTTCTTGCTCAGGGTTCCCTGAGCCTTGAGGTGAGGGATTTGATGGATCTATTCCATTTAGGGCTGAGTGTTCCAGTGTCTCTCACTCTCTAAATATTGTCTGGCTGTGGGTCTCTGTATTTCTTTAAAGCATATGCAGACCATCACAGTAAGCCACAGGTGGACACAATGCAGATATCAACAAATGGTGGAGAACTCAGCTCCAAAGGATACATCTGTACCATAGGTACTGTCTCAGACAACATTGGAGAAGAGAGGACAGAAAGATTTTAACAGCCAGAAAACCAGGAAATCGGCTATGAAATAGTATCTTATATTAATGACTGGACTGCATAAATAATACTGAAACAATGGCAATATCCATAGACATGCTAATGTTTAAGTGAGAACTAAACAGGCAATTTAAAGACTGCTGGGAAAGGGAGAATTAGCTTCTCCCAAGCATAAACCCCATATTTATTATCCAATACAAAGTGCTCAGCTCTAAAACATTATATATACAAACAACAAAGGCAGACAAAGTTTTATTTTTAGACTTATTTTATTTTGCACATAAATATACGTACATCTATGTGCATGTAACAATACCAATCAAAGAAAAAGTGTCTGTCAATTTGAGTGTAGGAGAGCACAGTTAGAGTTGGGAGGAGGGTACCTCGAACAGACTGGAGTGAGGAAGGGGAAGAGAGAAAATGACTCAATTCCACTCGATTACAATTGTATGGAAAAATATCTCTGTAGTAGAGATGATTAAACACTTCACATATACTGTTAATGTGATGTCCAATGAAGATGATGAAGTTCATGGAGAATATGACATAAAATTATGGCCTTAGTAATAAGAGAAATACTCATTTGACGTAGAAAATGTTTTCCATGTGATTTGTTGTTGGCCATGCCCTCATAATTCATGTGGATTACTCTCAGAGCAAAGGACACTAATGTCACAATTTTAACAAAAGAAGTGCAATGGTTGATCTTTGCTTTAAAAAGTTACTGTATGATATGCTTAACTTGGTAAAATCTGAAATAAAGGAAACCAAAGGAGGATAATATATATTGAATAAAATAAAAATTCTGAAGGCAATATATACAAAAAGAAGCAAAACAAAAATAAATGTATTGTCTTTTTCCAAATCCAGAGTTAACTAGCCACTTCCAGAGTGCTTGTGTCCCTCAGTCACTGTTTAAAGTCCTAAAGAAAGACACATCATTAAGAGATTGGACTGCTACTACTAAATGAAGAAATAGATTCAGGACAACCAAAAAATGAACGGAACAAAACAAAACAGACAGCACAAATATATAAATTACTTGTTTGTTCAATCCTGGAAATTCCTGTGGTTTTAGAGTACTTTCTACCTGCAAAATCCCTTGGCTGTATGCACAGTCAACTCTCATTATTCACAATAGTCATGCTCTATCCAATCACTCTAAACACAGAATTAGCAAATCCTTAAGTGTTCTTCCCAGGGGAGATCCAGAATTATATTTTTGTGAACCTCTTGTCATAACACTTTTGTCAATCAGTCAATCAACCAGTCAATTAATCAAGTTGTTTTATTTGTACTTGTGTTTAGATATATCAAATTTAATTCATATAGTCAATTTTTGACACAGCACTTACAGCCAATAGCATTAAAATTCATGCTTGAATGATCTTTATTTTACATGTGTTTTCCCATAAATTACATTACATTTTTCATGTGTTTAGGAATACTGTACTTTATAGCAACAGTTGGAAGTCAATCCAAATTCAATACCCCTCAAAAAAATAACAAAAGATGGGTACTATACCAGGTGCCATTATCAGAGCCAAGCTTTTGTAGCTAGAGAGACTATGATCATAAAAGGGGAACCCACTACTATTATTTTGCTAAAGGATATAGCCATAAAAGAACCCCGATGAATTAATGCTATATCTATAGAGAAGTGCATCTCTCAACCCTCATCAGAGAAACTTCTTCTTGTATAGATGACAGCACAGTGGTCTTCTGCTGGTCAGTATGCAAAGAGTGAAAGATTGAAAAGTGCTCACCTCTAAAAAGGACACATGTATTACACTCTTCCCCACAAAACTCAGAAAAAGAAAGATTATTAAAACTGGTAGAAAATGACAAGGAAATTATCTTTTCTAGACACAACAGGAAGTTGTACATAGAACCCATAGCAATTGTGACAACATGTACAAGATTTGCACATGCTCAAGTCAGAAAATAATCCTAACATGGAGAGGGGAAGTGGGCAAGAAGTCCCATCCTCTAGCTTATGAGCTATTGGAAATTGACTGCTGCTGCAAGAGAAATAGTTTTCTTAAGG